GAGTTAACGACGTTAATACATACACTACATACATAGCTAACATGCCTGGTCACATACATTACATATATACATAAACTATAATGTACAAATAAACATGTTTGTCTCATAAGTAACAAAAGAATATGATAACACGAAAACACGTAAACAACCTACTGATAAACTATAACATGTTTGTCTCATAAGTAACAAAAGAATATGATAACATTGTAAACAACCTTCAATAACAAATTTAATCACTAAACCAATAACAAACACCATTTATCATCAGTAGTAGAAATGGTATAAATAGATGTAAGCATAAACATGTAAGGAGTTCGAGATTATACGAATTCAAATAAGGAGCTCTTGCTCAGAAAAATATAAAAATATTTTTTTTATAACTTTCCTGACTTGAGTATTAAACTCGCGCGAGAGCTGTAGCTCAGTTTAATGGCAGTCGACAATCAAAGGGGGTGTTTCATGAAACTACGCGGAAAGCACGGAAACTTTGCGACAATACCAATGCACGTGGTAGCCGTACGGGACTATCGGCAACAAACAAACGCCTTTAAAAAGCCTCGATGCCACGGTCGCAGCACCATACAAAAACGTAAAGCTCGCAGATCCTCGCTACCACATCGCAGCTCCCGTCCGCTTAGTGATAGGTGTCGAAGTCTTCTCTAAAATATTATTGGGCGCCATTCCAGCGGGAACTCTTGGTCCGCTACTAGCGCAAAACACCATTTTCGGATGGGTTCTGTCAGGCGCATGTTAGACACGTATTTCTTAACTTTTTATTTTAACCATTACGTAAGTTAAGTTAATTTTTGTTCATAATGAATTACATTACACAATGAAGTATGTCCTTACTTTTTATTGAATAAAAAGGTCAGATGAAATTTTGAAGTCCACGTCTTTAATATTACATTCTATACTCCTTTACAGAACTTAGGTACATCCAAAGGGCAGCTGAAAGCAAGAACACTTAGTTATTAGATTCAAATTTTAAAATGAATAGTTAAGTGGAACATAGTGGCCGGAACACATTGAATTCAGATGGCTATCGGGCGGCATGTTTAGGTCCACGTAATTTCGACCCACTCTAATGTTTAACAGATCGTCATTATGTACTATGTTTGCTGTCGAACTGTTTATGGTTTTATTAATTTTGATGAGCTTCTTTGGCCTAGTTGGTGATTAGTGCAAGTAAAAACAACGTTTTTTCTTCACTGCTTTGTGTTTATGGTTTTGCTCACTATGTTAAAATATCCCTTCTATAATTAAACAGTTCGACCGGTAACCGTAACAAAAAACAGGAACCGATTTCTTACATACTTGTTTTCCGAGAGTGAAGTCAAGAGGGCGTGTTCCAGCCACTGTATTCCTGTTTCGACTAAAGGTAACCTATACAAATAAAATATATGCATCTATGTATATTAATACCACTTTCTATACTTGATTTAACATCAATTTATATTTAATTATAATACAAACTCTGTGCTATGTTTTCATTTCCGTAAATTAAATCGGTCACAACTTTGTCCGAGCGTTGTGTCGGTTTAACACAAGTTTTAAATCGTATAGAGCAATTTTTTTCGCTTCGGCCAACCCAACTAAAAAAAAAAGAAGCGTGAAAAAATGTAGCCTGCAGAGGATTTGGTTGTTACAATAATTCTTAACGTGTGAACTCAAATCTAGCAGGAAAGGAACAGTACTCGCAACTGCGTCCTCAAAGTTCTTATCCGACGTCTTCTCCTCTAAATCGAACACCGCATCGAGTGACTGCAATGGCATCAAAGGGAGTTCAGTATGGAGATCTTAACCGACTTCTCCAAAGATCCAGCAAACTATTTAATGTACTTTTTTACTTTTATAAGTACACTGCGGAAGTCTATGCAGAAAACGAAGCCTAAAAATATATACCACTTAAATATAAGCAAAATAAAGAAAATTTTATACATGATATTTCTATTTAAGGGAAACATATTTTTAGGCTTCGTTTTCTTCATAAACATCCGCAGTCTATTTATAAGTACTAAACCCTCTGGCGAGTCTGAAAATATATAATCATATAAATGTGCATTACAAGTAATAACAAGTACATATAAAGCCCGACTTATTAAACGTATATTTAAGAAGTGCCAAGGCGAAAATTTAAAATAATTTTTAATTTCCGGTTTCCTTCCCTACGGTACTTCGAAAGCTGATTTTTTTCTTTTTGCGCCCTTAGGAGTGGATGAAGCTTGGGGTGAGGAACTAAAAATGTCATCTTAATGTTTTCCATGAACTTTCATACATTTAAAAAAAATTTAAATTTACTTTGTTGCAATCAAAGTAAAAAAGGTCATTGGTTTTATGTAGAATAAACATATGTATAAAACTAGATAGCAAACTTATTAAAGAGGTGGTGTTGAATTGGTATTGAAAAAAAATTAGTTTCAAAAAGTATTCAAATGTATTCATAATGAATAGGTTTGCGGTAAGCAAGCTACGGCAAATGAGTCGATTCTCAGTCCTTACGCGCACATGAGGAGGGCTTAATGATGCCTTAAATATGCAGAACGGATTTTATACGGGACGGATATGCTCATTCGCCAACGCTCTTGCCTCGACGGGCGCTTCTTAGACAGTTGGAGAAAAATATTCAGGGCTGTCATGGAATCCAAGTCGATTTTACTTTTTGTCGGAATTACAAACCAATATTGAGGTGCATCACTGGCTATGCAAACGAAGCGCATCTTAAAAGCTTCCACCAATATAATTTGATTCACTTTCTGTAGAAATTAAATAACTCATACATAACTATAAGACAATCGGTAGCGGTTATTTCGCTTATTATATTACGACAATGTAAAAAGATTTCAGTTTGGAAATATTAAGTGAATTATTACAAAAATTATATGAACTTCAGTTTGGAGCAAATTAAATATGTAATTACAAAAATAAAATGAATTTCAGTGTGGTGAAATTGGAACAAATACAAAGGTTAGAAGAATTTCAGTTTCGAGGAAATAAAATGATTAAACGTTTTAATTTATATACATAGCTTATTTTTGCTTCGTCGAAATCCCTTCTTCATTAGGGATTTGAAATGCTTCAACCCGTTTTGCGGTTCATCGGTTGCAACTGTAAATATTAGAACATTAATAAGTTATTTTTGTTTACAAAAATATATAGAATTACTGTATAAAATATCACTAAAAAATTTCAGAGAATCCTAATTGACTTTGCTTAGTGCTTCTTCAGTTAAGAACATATCAATGCACTGATTTATAGGCGTTGTTACAATAATCGACCGACCATAAGCAATCTTAAACGAAGAATAAGGATAATAAAATTTTATTAAAAAATAAAATGCTATTAAAAAGTACAGAGATAGATGTGTAGTTACTTACCAATTCTTCTTTGGAATTGTTAAACATACATATGTATATTCATCGGCTTTCTTCACCTCGTCAAGTGTCTTCAGCGGGAAGATGTTAAAATTTGTGTACACGGGATGTAGTGTTGAAAAAATTTTATCCAGAAAAAGTTTCTATTGTGCCAAAGCAGCTTTTATGGCAGATATATCAGTATTTAACTCCTATTGAGATGCCAAACGGTCGTTGTTGATTTTCTCTAGAACTACATATCCTGAACACAATAAACCTTTTGGAAACCATAAGAATTAGTATGGCTCTTAAAAACGAAAAATTTTATACTTTGGAAAAATGAAGCTCTCGTTATTTTTAAATGTAGTTAACATTTATTTTTTTCTTAGATTTTTACCGATTGATTTTTCATGTATTACAGGGTGCCCTGCTAAGGTTCTAAATTTGTTGTTTTTAAGAACCCCTCCAATAATGATGTAATGTGGAACGAATTTCCGTCATCCCTTGTCAAATTTGGTTTGGAGACAAACCGGTTTCGGCGTTGTGTTATCTTCAGTGTCATTTTTCGTTGTGAATAGTTTCTGTTTGTCTGTCACTATTTATAGTCGTGTTAAATCGTCGTTGGTTCATAGTTAGGTACGTTTCAGCGGATTATATTCTTTCGTTCAACCAGTAGTTTCAGTTCTGTGTGTACATCCTCAGGTAGAAATTAGCTGCTCACCTCTTTTTCGATTAATTGTTGCATGGCTTCGCAGGTAGGTAAAAATTAGTTATTTTCTTTCTCTTTGTTTCTGTAGTTTGCAGGGTTTCTGTTTTGTTTTGCGTATAGTAGCCTGAGTGGTTCGAATAATATATCAGATGCGGTGTTTATTTGCTCATTTATTATTTTTCCGACGAACGTCTTTTGTTTGTATATCTCCATATTCTCTAATACGTTTAGGCGTTGTCCTTTGTGCTGTACATGGAGAACTTTGGCTGTATTTCCTATTTTCATTGGCGTACAATGGTTTTCTGCCATATGGTTTGCGAAGTTCGATTCCGGGGTGGTAGAAGGTCTTAGCATTTTTTTGTTGTAGTCCCTTATATGTTCACGATATCTTGTTTTTATCTTGCGCCCTGTTTGTCCTATGTAACTATGTTGACATCCGCAAGTCAACTTATATACACCTTGCTTGTCTAGTGGGTCTTCCTCGTTTGCACTATTTCGTAGTATCGTCCCCACATTGTCCTTCGTTCTAAATGCTGTATTAATGTTATACTTTTGAAATTCCTTAGCCCATTTATATGACGTTTTGCCCGTATAAGTCAAGACTGTCCAAGCCTTTTCATTATTTTCCTTCTTATTTGATTTCTTCGTTTTTGTTTCTCTTCTTATCTTGTTTACTAGGCCCTTTCTGTATCCGTTATTTTCCGCGATTGCGTATATCGTATTAAGTTCTTTGCTGTAAGCTTCTTTTTCCAATGGGGTATGTTCAAGCCTGGTTATTAGATATCTAAAGGCTGCATTTTTATGCTGTGAGGGTGGTTTTATTTATTTTAATTGTTATATCCAAATAGTGAACTTTATATTCGTGTGTTGGTCGTTGAGATATCCTAGAATTTGTTCTTCCTTGTCTCCCGTTACAAGACATATGATGTCATCAACGTATCTTGCGTAGAACTTTACTCGCAGGCTTGTTGTCAGCTTCGTCATACACTTTTCCTCTAAATGTTGCATGAACACTTCCATTAAAATTGCAGATGTGGGATTACCCATCCCTAGCCCGTTAGTTTGTCTATATATTTTGTTATTAAACTTGAAGTTTTGGTCTAGTGTTACCTCCAATGTGTTCAAGATTTCCGTTGCTACGTTCTTGTCTGTTTTTTCTATCAAAGTTTTAGTCAAGATGGTAACGGTTTCTGCCGTTGGTATCGATGGGCAAAGATCCTTAACATCAAATGATACAAATTTCGCATCTTTGGGTATATCTAGCGATTTCATCCTTTCATTTAACTCCGCTGTATTCGTAATTGTGTATTTATTGGGCAGTTCCAGTTTTTCTTTCAGCAACGATTTTAGATATTTCGATAGTTTGTATCCTGGTGCAGATTTGTGGTTGATAATTGGTCTCATCGGATTTCCTGGCTTGTGTATTTTGGGAGTGCGATCATTGAAGGGGCCGAAGGATTCATTAATGTCATTGTATATGCTTTCCTTGGATTTATTATTGTCTTTGCCTGTTTTAGTGCGTGCTTTACTGCTTTTGGTAGTCATCGGTTGGGTCCTTTCTCATCATCCGACAATTTGTCTCTTTGATTAGTTGCTCTTTCTTTATTTAGTTGTCTTTTCTTTACATTCTTTTTCGTACATTATTACCGTTGTGTTCCCCTGGTCTGCTTTTGTTGTGATTACTTTATTCGTTTTGAGTTTTTTCTTTAGCCCTTTGACAGTTTTATTTTCGTCGCTTGATTTGCTCTCCATGGATTTTATGCTTTTTTTCATCCTCGCTTGGTAGTAATGATATGGCCATTTCCGTGTCTACCTCTTTATTTTTATCATAATTTTCTATGTTGTGTTTCAGACCTTTTTCCAATATTTCTGTCTCTTGTTTGCTAATGGGACCTTAGTCAAATTTACGAATCTGGAATGGAAAGGCATTTCGCTGTGTTGTATGTTCTTTGTGATGTTTTACTTTCTATTGAGGTCATCGAGTTTTTTGTTTAATTTATTGTATTTTTCTCCTTTATTTCATCTAATATCTCTAGGAGCGTGCTGACAGGAAGGAGTTCCGCTAGTTCTAAATGAATGGGAAGTAGCTCCTCATTTCTGCGTTCTTTTTTGGCATACAGGTTCTTAATTTCATGTCGAAGGAAGCTGTTTTCTGCTCTTTTCAAGATTTTTCGCCTTTGCTCTGCGCTCGATTTTAGATTAATTCTTGCGAATTTCGGCGTAACATTTACTCTCTCTAACACTCTAATAATATTTACTACTAAAAATTACCTAGTTTCGCAATCTGTTTTTTTCAATTCAGCATTCTCCATTACAATCTTATAAATTGATAATATTTCTTTTAATTAGTGATGATTTTTAGCAGTGATGTAGCACCGGAATAACTACTCCCTCGTTTTTAATTGGAAGATATACAAATTTGAATGGTACTTAAGAAATTGGGAAAACACTGTTTGAAGAGCTCAGATTACTAACAACTGTTATCCCAAGGGATGATATCGATTCTAATGGCTCTATGAAATAGTTACTAACAGTATTAAATTTTTTCCTACTATAAATTCATTCCCATCTAATAGTTTATAATAATATTTTATTCTAATTGGCTGAAATGGTTTTATGCAGCAGTAACAGTATTTAGAAATTTTTTTCAGGAATGTTTTCGATAGCTTTCCCTTCAGTCTTTACAAATTTAATTTTTTTGTAATTAAAATAAATGTTTTTGAAACTTTTTTTGAAATAAAAAATAATTTTAATGTTTTTTCCAAAAAGGGGTATTTTTTTGCTCAAAAGAAAGCTTAGGAATTTTTCTTTAAGAGCTTGGTGGTCGCCTAGTGGGATGCGACTTGTTTATCTATCAAAATGAGAGTCTGGAAACTCGAAACAGCGTTTTTTTTTAATTTTTAATATATGACTTATTTTATTTTTTTTTGTATTATTGTGTAAGTGTTTCTGAAACCTGAAAATAAAACTCATATGAAAAAGTATATACAATTACTTTTCCAACGGTATATACCATGCCTAACCAAAGTTTCATACCCTTGATATTGCAATTCCGGTAATTAAGGATGATTAAGATTTTTCGTACTCTAAGACAGCAGGTATTCGATTTTGTGCATCCAAACACTTTCTTAATAGCTTTGCAGAATTTTCAGTATTAGATTTGCATACCTACTAGCACAATATTTGAAAAGTATGAAGAAGATGGGATTTCCCCGTAGTTAAGGATGGCAGAAGTGTTTTTTTCTTGCTCAAAAGAAAGCTTAGGTATTTTGCTTTTTTTATACCTTTCATGAGCATGAAATGGTATTATAACTTTGGTCCGATGTTTGTAAGTACCAGAACAAAAAGAGATAGACCCATTAAAATGTATACTTATATGATCAGAACGTCGAGCTGAGTTGATTTAGCCACGTCCGTCTGTCCGTCTGTCTGTCTGTTTGTATGCAATCTAGTCTCTCAGTTTTCGAGATATCCGGATCAAATTTGGTAGGTGGGTGTATTTTTATAATGTATTAATCATTTGTCGGAACCGGAAGAATCGGACCACTATAACATATAGCTCCCATACAACTGATTGTTCAGATATGAGATTTTTCGTTATAACTCCTCCATTTATATAGCTAGGAACATGAAATTCCGCACTGTTTTCAATAATTATTAACAGAAAACTTACGGTGAAAATTAAAAAGATCGGGTAACTATAACCTATAGCTCCCATACAACTGATTGTTCAGATATGAGATTTTTCGTTATAATTCATCCATTTATGTAGCTAGGACCATGAAATTTCGCGCTGTTTTCACTCATTATCAACAGAAGACTTACAGTGAAAATAACAAAGATCGGGTCACTATAACCTGTAGCCCCCATACAACTGATTGTTCAGATATGAGGTCTTTTATCATAACTCCTCCATTTATGCAGCTAGGAACATGAAATTTCGCACCATTTTTGCTCATTATCAACGGAATACTTACAGTGAAAATAACAAGGATCGGGTGACTATAACATATATGTATCTTCCATACATCTGATTGTTCAGATATGGGATTTTACTGTAAAACTCCTTTATTTGAACAGCTAAAACCGATAAATTTCGTAAGATATTTTATAAATAATAATACAAAGTCTACTGAGAAAATCGTCAAAATCTATGCTGTATAAGCTTTATCTCCTATACCACTGATTGTTCAGATACCAGTTTTTGCGATATATCTTCTTTATGTAGGAAACTAAACCCAATAAATTGTGTTACCGGTTTACATACCGATCACATAGCAGTGAAAATCTCTTAGATTGGTGCCATATAAAGTATATCTTCCATACCTCTGATTGTTTAGATGCGATTTTTTATATAAGTATGTAACTCCTCTATCGATGTATGCAGATGTATTCAAAAGCAGTAATCTGTCAAAGTAAAATTTGCAGATGTTCATGAAAGGTATGAAGCCTTCGGCATAGCCGAAGACAGCGCTGCTCTTACTTGTTCTTTAAGAGTTTTGAGGTCGCTTAGTGGGATGCGACTTGTTTGTCTATTAAAATGAGCATTTAGTAACTCGAAACTATTTTTTAATTTCGAACATATGTATGACCTAAGTGTTTCTCAAACTGGAAAATAAAACTTATATAAAAAATTCGATACAATTACCTTTCCAACGCTATAAAACAAGCAACTAAAGTTTCATACCCTCTACATTATAATACCCACAATATGTACATCTCTGGAATAAAATAACTTGTATAGAATTGGTGAACATTTTGATTTTTTTTTTTTGATTTATTTAGAGTAGTATTTAATATATAATTTAATAAGTAGATACATAAAAAGTATACAACAGCCTTCCATCCATCTTATTTTCTACCTTTCTTTGTGGCTTTTTTCGTCAATCGTTTCTTATGGTTACTGGGTTCTGCTGTTGATTTCAATCCGGGTTTCGGTTTTGGAAGGAAATCACATTGGGTAGAGGAAGAAAACTTTTCCTTTTTGGTTGTTGTTGTTTCCGACAGGGTGGGTGTATGATGTATTTTGGAACGAGTTTCCGTCATCCCTTGTCAAATTTGGTTTGGAGACAAACCGGTTTCGGCGTTGTGCCATCTTCAGTGTCATTTTTCGTTCTGCATAATTTTTGTTGGTTGCTCGTATTTATACTCCTTGTTAACTACCTCTTTCTTTTGTTAGGTACGTCTTCTTAGTTTTGCAGTGTTTGCGGTGCTCAATAGGTAGATGAATTGTTCTGGCTCGTTTTTGACGGCAGTAGAAGACCGTCCTCCTTTGTTTTTGCAGTTAGTGTATTCCCTTCCATGTCTGTCCTTAATATTTTGTTGTTGTAATTTTTCTTCTCGTACAGTAGTTTTAGAGATTCAAACAGTACGTCCGATGCAGTATTTATTTGCTCATTTATTATTTGTCCTTTGAAGGTTTATATATTCCATATTTTCAAATATATTCAATCTTTGTCCTTTATGATGTATACGGAGAAGTTCTGTTGTTTGTCCAATCTTCATTGGTGTGCATTTATTTTTGATCATGTGATTCGCGAAGTTCGATTCTATTGCACGCCAAAAAGGAACATACAAATGCGGAGCTATTGGCCATCCACCTACAGTTAGCGGAGCATCGCCAATCCAAACCTTGATGGAAACAATAGAAAAAATAAAAGCCGATAATAAAAAACTCATGAAGAAGTATGAAAGGTTGAACAAGAAACTCGATAACTTAAGGAGGAAGCAAAGCAACAACAAAATCAATAAAAATGCAGAACAGAAGTTCCATTCTCGATTTGTAAACTTGACGGAGGTTTACATCAATGAGCAAGAGGTAGAACTATTAAAAAAAGGCATCAAACACAACATTGAAAGTCACAACCGAAAGAGGGAACTTGAACAAACCATCGTGGATACTGAAGTTATTATATCACGGCTTCCAACTGAAGAACAGGAGCACGCCGTCAAAACGAGCCACAACAATTCATTAACCTATTGAGCAACGCAAACACTGCAAAACTAAGAAGACGTACCTGACAAAAGAAAGAGGTCGTTATTAAGTAGTATAAATACGAGCAACCAACAAGAGTTATGCAGAACGAAAAATGACACTGAAGATGACACAACGCCGAAACCGGTTTGTCTCCAAACCAAATTTGACAAGGGATTACGGAAATTCGAAGAAAACTTCTTTAACTTAAGCCTTCTATCGCCGATCGATATGAAAGCATGATATTGAGCGGTACCATCGATTGTCACTGCAGCATCGAATCTGCTCATCAGTGATCTCGCAGTTTCCTCATGATCATCTTTACTACTAAAAATTAATTCAGTTTCTTTACAATAATTCTTTACCCACCGAAATAAAGCTATCGCATCTAAGATACGAGCTTGATGAGAGCATTGAAGGCAATACTTCGCTGCATTTCTTTTGATATTTACTCCTATACCATCACATGCTCCTTTACCATGAGCAGTAGGATGAAAATGCCACTCAGCTGGTATTTGGAAATATGTTTCATGAGAGATAAGATAAGCGAATAAATATAACATATTTTTGT